ACAGTGAGACTCTGTCTCAAAAAAAAAAAAAAGAGAGGAAGGTTAGGCAGCTCCACTGGGGTTTGAAAAGACAGCTTCAGAGCTGGGGGCTCGTTGTGGGGTTAGGAGGGCACACTCGGGGTCACAGGTGCAGCACTGGCATCGGGGCCCGCATGGCGTCCCCTGCACTGTGTCTGCGGACTCTCAGGTCCCCCGGAAGAGGCTGCTGCCCAGATGAGGGAAGGTGGTCCTCCGAGGGTTGTGTCTCCCCCTTTCTAAGTGATGACGCTTTCCCACAGGGCGCAGAGGGACCTCCAGGGCCCACTGGCCAGGCTGGGGAGCCGGTGAGTATCAGGAATCCTTGCGGGGTGCAGAGGAGGGACCCAGGCCTCTAAGATCCCCGGAGCTCACAGGCCTGCAGAGAGGGGGTGCTGGGCTGACACTCCTCCACCCTCGCAGGGCCCCCGAGGACTGATTGGCCCCAGAGGCTCTCCTGGCCCCCCGGGACGCCCGGTGAGCACCCCGATCTGTCTTCCTCCCCCGCCCCTCCCGTCCGTCTCTGTTGCCCGATTTCTCTGCCGCCCGCGTTTCCACCTGCACCTCTCAGCAAATCGGACTCAGGCCCTCGGCTTGGTGTCCTGTTCTAGCCTCACGTCCTCTCTCCCGCCAGGGTGTTGTCGGAAGTGACGGTGCTCCAGGCGCCAAAGGCAATGTGGTACGTGCCCCACCCTCTGACCCCTGGCCCTCTGACGCTCTGACTCCGTGATCGTCCCTGTCCCTGTCCATTTGTGACTGTCCCGATGCCTGAACACCATGACCCCTTCCAACTTCACTGAACCCCCACTTTCTCTCCAGGGTCCTCCAGGAGAACCAGGCCCTCCCGGACAGCAGGGAAACCACGGGTCCCAGGTTTGAACTATCCTTCCCTATAATGGGGGGGGGCAAGGCGCTTGTCGGTCAAGACCTTAGACCCCTCCCAGCCTCCCCAAATTGGTGCTCACTGCTTCTTTCTTATGCCTACGCTCCCACCCCCTCTTTATGTCCCCAGGGACTCCCCGGCCCCCAGGGACCCATTGGCACTCCTGGGGAGAAGGTGAGTGACAGCTCCACGCACTGCCACCTCCTCACGTCTCCTTCCTTCAACTCTGTCACCAGCAAAATCTTCCCTTTTCGTTAGCCCTGGATAGTGACAAATTGTAGCATTCCCTAAGCCAGCGCAGAGTGACAAAGTGTCATTGTTGGGGAAGGGTTGGTTGCAAGAAACTGAAACCCACCAAGGCTAGATCGCTGTGTAAGGGATATTGTCAGGATACACAGAAACCCACAGAAGCTTGTCACAGAAGACAGATGCATGGGCCAGAAAAGCCATTTCCCCGGGGGACTCGTGGTCTCCTCTTTGTCTCTCTGCACATCTGTTTCCGTCTCCCTGGAGGACAGACTTCCTTCTGCACGTATCTTGGTTTGTCCTTACTGCACCCCACTTCCCAACTTCAATTTTGACATAATCCTGTGTGCTTTGTCATTATTCACGTCCCAGCTTCTCATGACCCTGTACTTGCATCACCCAAAGCCACCTGATGAGTTCCTGTATCTCTTACCTCCAAGTTCCAGAAAGAATCTGACTGGCTTTGCTGGGCCAAAATGTCCACCTGTGGACCTGTTGGTTGTTTGCAGGACATAAGGGGTTACCACATGCCTGCCTAGGCTCACCCCTGGGGGGCGCGGTGTCTCACACCTGTAATCCTAGCACTGTGGGAGGCCGAGGTGGGAGGATTGCTTGAGGTCAGGAGTTCGAGACCAGCCTGAGCAAGAGCAAGACCCTGTCTCTACTAAAAGTGGAAAAACTAGCCAGGCATGGCGGTGCTTGCCTGTAGTCCCAGCTACTACGGAGGCTGAGGCAGGAGGATCGCTTCAGCTCAAGAGTTTGAGGTTGCAGTGAGCTATGGTGATGCCACTGCACTCTACCCAGGGTGACAGCATCTCTGTCTCAAAGAAAAAAGGTGTGGCTGGGAAGCCCCTGTCCCAACATGTTCTTAACCCTGTTGGAGGTGGAGGATTTCTGAGGCTCAGAGAGGGAAGGGAGCTTGCCCAGGGCCACACAGAAGTCTGGGCAGAGCTGGGATAGATTTCCTAGCCAGTGGGGTCCACTTATTCTCTAATCTTGAGGCAGCTGCATGTCTGAGCTGTTGTTGGTGGAGCTCCAGGGTTCTGAGAGCCCTCTGTCTCCCCCCCTATTTTCAGGGTCCCCCTGGAAACGCAGGAATTCCAGGCATCCCAGGAGCCGATGGCCCTCCGGTGAGAACTAGGAGCTGGGAAAAAGAGGAAGGAGAAGGGGAAGGTTTGGGAATTTGGATGGCAAATTTTGGTCTCTGACACCTTAGGATGTTTCTTCTCTAGGGCCACCCAGGCCATGAGGGCCCCACGGGAGAGAAAGGTGCCCAGGTGAGCGATCGGGAGGGAAGCTGGGTTGGGCATGTAGGTCGCTAGGCAGAGCCGGGAGTCAGGGGCCAGTTAAGAAAGAGAGGAGGACATTGAGACGTGGTGGGGCAGGCCAGGATGGTACTGATGTCCTCTTCCTCTCAGGGTCCACCAGGGTCGGCAGGCCCTCCGGGCTATCCTGGACCTCGGGGTGTGAAGGTAGGTGATGCCTATAGGTAGGGGTGATTCATCAGCATTGGCTTTGGGGACCCAGCTCCATCAGAAACTTCTAGATGTATGAAGAGAGGAGTGAGTCGGCCAGGCACGATGTAGTGGGAGTAGGGTTTGGATCTGAGTGACAATGTATAAAAGTGTGGGTGTCACTTTGACCCAGCACGGCCAAAGGACAGCACGACACTGTAGTTGTCATCTTGTCGTTGAGAACCATTAAGCCCATTAGAGGCTGAACACATTTCACTGGTCAGCATATGGTAGTCAAGGGGAAGGTTGTGTTATAACCAAGACCAAGACCACACGCTCTCGCAAGCACATGAATGCTGGGATGAACCAAGACCTGGGGTGTGGCTAAATAGAGGTGCCATGTTGCCTGAGTGCAGGGATATTGGAGTTCACGTCCAAGTGCGAGCTGAGTCCAGTTACACTGTAGCCAAGTACAGGTACCATTTACCTGTAGTCTAAGAACAGAGTTTGGTGGTAGCCAACAGCCAACTCTTGGTGTTTTTGCATTCTAGCCAAACTCATACCACAATCAAAGAGGCAGCCACATTGTCGGGGGCTGCAGAGTCCTGTCCAAATTCAGAGTTGTTACACTGTAGCCAGGCATGGTTACATAGTTACAGCCTAGATTGTAGTTGAGTCTAGTTATATTGTAGCCAAGGCTGAAGAACGATCGTCGCCAAGCTCAATTACATTGTGGTCAAGTGACTTTTTTCTCTGGGGCTGGAGAGAGCTGCGCTGTTGCCCAAACACATAGTTCTGTTGTATCCAAGTACAACTTCATGGTAACCGCTGAGCTCAGTTACGCCGTAGCCAAGTGCAGCTTTCAGAGTTCCGTGTGAGCCGCGTCCAGGCTTGCGTGGCGGCGGCCGGTCCTGCTGTAGCCAAGCACAGAGGTCGCCTTGTTGCCAAGCACAGAGTCGCCTTGTAGCCAACACAATGGGGAACATTCCTCTGCCTTTAGAACGAGACCCGGGCCTGCAATGTTCGTGCTCTTTCTCCTGCCAGGAGGAACTGTGGACGCAGTGTCTCCGGGAGATGGGAAGGGATCGCTTGGGAATTTGGCCTTCCCTGAACACCTTCACACAGATGACCTTGGGAGGCTGCCAGTGGGGAGGGACGAAGCTCTGGGGAAAGTTCATTTCCTCTGAGGCCGCCCCCGCCCCGCTCCGGCCCAGCATCCTCCTGGGACTCTCCGGCTATTTGGGGGCAGAGGACTGAGTTTGGTGTCCTTCTTAGGCAGGAAAGGAGCCTGAGAACTTTTTTTTTTTTTAAATTTTCCAGGGCACCTCAGGCAACCGGGGCCTCCAGGGGGAGAAAGGCGAGAAGGTGAGGGGTTTATTGGTGACGGGAGCCCCAAGAATGGGACTCTGGTTGGGACCCTCCTCTGAGGTCCTGATTTCTGACCTCTGTCTCTCGCACCCAGGGAGAGGATGGCTTCCCTGGCTTCAAGGGTGATGCGGGTCTCAAAGGCGATCGGGTAAGGTGGCCTCCAGGTGAGGGGTCGCGTGGGTCTGGGGGGCTTGGGGAAGGGAGGGAGGGGGCGAACTGAGACTAAGACAGGGCTAGCAGCAGCAGGAAGGACAGAGGACAGATATGAAGGACTGTCTTTTCTATTCCAGGGACAACCCGGACCCTCAGGTCCCCGGGGAGAGGATGGCCCCGAGGGGCTGAAGGGGCAGGAGGGGCTGGTTGGCGAAGAGGGACCCCCAGGCTCAGCTGGGGAGAAGGTGAATGATCCAGACCTTTGCCTCTGACCCCTGCCCTTTTATCTTCAACCTCCGGAGGCTGCAACCACCCTTGTCATCTCCTAGAACCCCTCAGCTCAGCATCACAGAGCAATTCCATGCACGTGGCTTTTATTTTAACTGCACCACAAGCAACAGGCACTTTCACCCCCATTTTATAGATGAGAAAACTGAGGTTGAATGACCTGCCCAAGGACAGGCAGGAACAATGACCTGAACCCCGTTTCCCTGACTCCCACCCTTCTCCTGCTTTCACCATATCCCAGCCACACGAAACTTTCCCCTTTGACCTCCACTTTGCAATTTCTGACCTTTGTCCCACAATCTCTCTGCAGGGCAAGCTTGGAGTGCCGGGTCTCCCAGGTTACCCCGGACGTCCAGGACCGAAGGTAAGAAACTCCAGGGCTGGGTGTGGATAGGGGCAGGGTTGACCCTAACATCTGAGGGTCCAAGCTGTGGTCTGTCCAAGCTGTGGAGCTGTCCACCCCAAGGGTCGTTGGAAATTGTAAAACGTGGACTTTCTCATCAGCCAGACTTAGGCTCAAATACTCGTCTCTTACTTGCTACATGACCTTGGGCACGTCGCTTGAGAATGTTTCCTCAGCTGCAAAATGGAGATACCAGTGATATCTGTCTCATCAATTTGGTTATAACAGTGTTGATGACAGTGCTGATGATAATGATGATAAAACTATACAATCTTTATTTGTTGTGATTGAGGTTAGTTTGCCAACCGAGTCAATGAAGAGGAAAATCATAAAAAAAAAATACATGTCTTATGCATCTCAAGTTAATTGTAACTTGTAATCAAATGCACATGTACAAAAACGTACTTCTGTTTAAACGTACATTTGTTTGCCAATGTTTTGATGGATGGGAACACCAATGAAATTCCTTTCTGCTTAAACCACGCCCATATTACATCACTGATGATTTCTGTTTATATAAAGTACAACAGGAATTTAAAGACATTTGGCCAGCCTGAGCAAGAGCGAGACCCCGTCTCTGCCAAAAAAAAAAATAGAAAGAAATGATCTGGACAACTAAAAATATACATATATAGAAAAAATTAGCCAGGCATGGTGGCGCATGCCTGTATTTCCAGCTACTCGGGAGGCTGAGGCAGAAGGATTGCTTGAACCCAGGAGTTTGAGGTTGCTGTGAGCTAGGCTGACGCCACGGCACTCACTCTAGGCAGGGCAACAAAGTGAGACTCTGTCTCAAAAAAAAAAAAAAAAAGACATTTGGGAAGAAATTTGAGTGCAGAATCTTCCAGAGTTCTACATTTTCACCCTCTTGAGTTGATATATAGTTTTCGCCTTCTTGAGCCCTAACCTAGTTTGACAGCATTTTGTTTTAGTGACTTATCTTAATATTGAATCTTTCCTATTCAACTTAGTTTTGATAATCTTTCTTTTCCTTTCCATATTTCATCAGTTCTTGTAAATTTTCATTAAATTTCATACCTCCAGTAGCCAGTGCAACTGACATAAAATAGGTTTGGGGATAAACTCAAGGTACCACAGCTAAGTATAGAACTCAAGCTATGGGACCAGAAGTTCATGGGAGTTTGAGAGAGAAACTTCCTAGCTGAGACCAATCGGAGTGTGTTGGACATTAAGCAGTGCAATTTACAAGAGCCATGATTTGTTGGTTAAGTCAAGGTCAGTCATAATCATCATAAATAACATTGGGGTGGGTGCGGTGGCTCATGTCCGTAATCCCAGCACTTTGGGAGGTTGAAGCCAGGAGTTCAAGACCAGCCTGGGCAACATAGCCAGACCCCATCTCTACAAAAAATAAAATTAAAAAAATTAGCCGGGCATGGTGGCACATGCCTGTAGTCCCAGCTACTTGGGAAGCTAAGGCGGGAGGATCACTTGAGCCCAGGAGCTCAAGGTTGCAGTGAGCTATGATGATACCACTGCACTCTAGCTTGGGTGACAGAGCAAGACCTTATCTCAAATAAAATAAAAAGTAGTCATATTTTCAGGTGTGTTTGGTAAGAAATTGATTCATCAATAATAATCTAAGATTTTAGCAAGTCCCTGTGTGTGCATGTGCAAGACCCTTGAAGAGGGCAAGGCACAGAGAGTGACTTGGAGGTTGGGGAGGTCAGGATGGTGGTAGAAAGGCTTTCTAAGGAGGTGACACCTGAATGAGATCTCAATGATGAGGAGTGGCTGGCTTTGTGGAGACCTGAGAGAAGTAGGCAAAGGCAGCAGGCAGTGCAAAGGCCCTGGGGCAGGAACACACTGGTGTGCCCAAGGAAACTGAGGAGGCCACTGTGGCTGGAGTGAAGTGGGAAGGGCGGAGAGCAGGGCAGAGGGCTGCCTTGGAGAAGGCTGGGGCTGGAGGGACCAAGGAAGCTTCTGGAACCAGTGGCCTGGACAGGCGTCGAAGGATGGGGTGAGGGGCCAACTCTGTCTACCACCCACTCTTCACCCTCATCTCTTTTCTCTAATTCTCTCAACTCAGGGATCTATTGGCTTTCCCGGGCCCCTCGGACCAATAGGAGAGAAAGGGAAGCGGGTGAGTTTTGATGCAGGGGTTGGGGGAGGGAAGAGCTTGCCCAAGGGGAACAGCATGTGTGGTTGCGCATGACAATGAGTGGCCCCTGGGTGGCTGTGTCTGCATCTGGAAGCACTGTGTGCATGCGCATGCTTGCGTGCAATGCAGGATACATGTGGGTGACCACGCATGATATGACAATGCATGTATCTATGAGTACATATGTGTGTGTGTTTCACGTGCCTCCCGATATAGATCAGACAGGGTCTGAGCGCTGTGGCCTGTGGGCCTGTGCCTGGGCGAACAAGGCCATGGATCTGCATGTACGTGTGTGGCCGTGGGTGTCACTGTGTGGACGTGCACGCTGACATGCGTGTGTTGTATTTGTGTTGCCGTGTGTGTATCGTAACAGTGTAAACAGACGTTGTGCAGAGGGACCCGAGTGTATCATACTGCTGTGTTCACCAAGACCACGACCTCAGACGAATGCAGGCACACCTGTGTTTACAGTGGGCATACACGTGTGCAAGGGACGTGTTGCACGACGAACTCGTGTCTGTGTCACACGCGGGCTGTGGATTGCCAAATGCATGCCTGATGCACCGCTGTGATGAAAGCGTGTTTGTGTGGCACACCTGCTCACGTGTTTGGGTGCTGTGCATGCAGTCGTGTGTGGAATTGGATGTCTGTGATCTTTGCGTGTTTGTGAGTATAAGTTGTATTTGTCTGTGTGTGTGTGTGTGTGTGTGTGTGTGTGTGTGAATGAAAAGCTTTGAAGAGGCCGGGTGCGGTGGCTCACGCTTGTAATCCTAGCACTCTGGGAGGCTGAGGCGGGTGGATTGTTTGAGCTCAGGAGTTCGAAACCAACCTGAGCAAGAGCGAGACCCCGTCTCTACTAAAAAAAATAGAAAGAAATTGTCTGGACAACTAAAAATATATAGAAAAAATTAGCCGGGCATGGTGGCGCATGCCTGTAGTCCCAGCTACTCGGGAGGCTGAGGCAGGAGGATCGCTTGAGCCCAGGAGTTTGAGGTTGCTGTGAGCTAGGCTGACGCCACGGCACTCACTCTAGCCTGGGCAAAAGAATGAGACTCTGTCTCAAAAAAAAAAAAAAAAAAAGCTTTGAAGAAATGTGTGGCAGACGCCTCTCTGGGGCTGTGACTGGGTACGTTTGTGGGCCTGTGTCCTGCCTTTGCACCTAACTCTCTCCTGCGTCCCTTCGTCCAATTTATTTTTCAGGGGAAGGCAGGACAGCCGGGGCTGGAAGGAGAGCGGGGGCCACCAGTAAGAAAATAGAGGGTGTCCCCCACCCTGATGGGTCGCGGCGGGCAGGGCTGGGAAGGAGGGGTGGTGGGGAGGTCGTGAGTGGACAGGGAAAGGGGTTTGGGTGTCCCTGGTGGGGCAGGAGGGGGAGTCACCGCAGGAGGGGACCTGGTCAAATCTCCCCTGGTCCTCCCACCCTCTCGCATCTCATCCTTGCCTTTCTTTCTGTTCAGGGCTCCCGTGGAGAGAGGGGACAACCGGGTGCCACAGGGCAACCAGGCCCCAAGGTATGGGATGGGTGGGCGATCAAGGCCCCCCATGCCCCAGGCTCAGCCAGTCCCTCCCAATCCTTCTGGGTTGAGTTTGTTCTGGGGCCTGAGTCTCCCTTCACTCTGTCCTAGGGTGACGTGGGCCAGGACGGGCCCTCTGGGGTCCCTGGAGAAAAGGTGAGTGTGTGTGTGTGTGTGTGTGTGTGTGTGTGCGTGTGTGTATGAGAGAGTGATTGAGTCTGAGTGGAGGACAAGGCTAGCAGGTGGGGAGACGTTGTAATGCAGTGGAAAGAGCGCAGCCTCTGAAGTCAGAGAGCCATGAGTTCAAGTCCTAGCTCTGCCTGCTGTGTGACCTTGGACAAATCGCTCAACCTCTCTGTGCCTTAGTTTCTTCCTCTGTAAAATGGAAATAACCTCAGTCCCCACCCCGATGGGTTACAGTGGTGAATGAAATGACTTTACTGTGTTCAGAGTGCCCTCCCCCGTGCCTGGCATGCAGTAAGCGCTCAATATGTGCTGGCTCTCGTTGTCATTATGCGGGGCTCAGGAAGGGCACAGGCGGGAGGGCTGAGACAATGACTTCTGGTTCCATTTCAGGGCCTCCCTGGTCTGCAAGGCCCTCCAGGATTCCCTGGGCCAAAGGGCCCCCCTGTGAGTGAGGTCACCCTCATGGGGGCTCGGGTGGGAGGAGGGGCTGGGGAGAAAGGAGGCTCCATATCTGTACCCCAACTCTTGTCCCCCAGGGTCACCAGGGGAAAGACGGGCGACCGGGGCACCCTGGACAGAGAGGAGAATTGGTGAGTGATCCCTAGACCTCTGACCCCTGACCCCTGACCTCATTAAGCCCTCCCTTTCTTCCCTCCATGTGACACCCCCCCATTTTATCTTTCTCCCCAGGGCTTCCAAGGTCAGACAGGCCCACCCGGCCCAGCTGGCGTCCTAGGTCCTCAGGTCAGAGTGGACCCCACAAACCTCCCCCATTTTGTCCCAGTTGGAGGATATTCGGGAGGCGGAAGCTGGATGTCTGACAGACTCCCCCAGGCCACCCCCATTCAAGATGACTCTTCTTTCTCTCCAGGGAAAGACAGGAGAAGCGGGGCCTCTTGGGGAAAGGGGGCCCCCGGGCCCCCCTGGACCTCCTGGTGAACAAGGTCTTCCAGGCCTGGAAGGCAGAGAGGGGGCCAAGGTGAGATCCCCCTGCCCCGCGGGAGATCTTGGTTGAGTGGCCCTCGTGCCAGCTCAGGGCTCAGAAGCAGCCCCATGGGCCAGGGGGCCAGAGTCCCAGACTGGGAGAGACACCCCCTCTCTGGAGCTTGACCTCTCGCTTCGCACCCCTGCAGGGGGAGCTGGGCCCGCCAGGACCCGCCGGGAAGGAAGGGCCAGATGGACCCAGGGGCTTCCCTGGCCCCCAGGGACTCCCCGGGGACACAGTGAGTAGCCTTTTGAGCCCCTCCTGCATGTGTCCGGCTGGGCTGGGAAGCAGAGAAGGGAAGGGGGACATTAGGATGACATCTGCAGGGACACGGAGGAGACAGACCCCTTCAACTCAGTGCCCAGTCACAGGAAAGGGGTGGAGATTGTGAGTCCCCCAGAGGAAGACAGGACTTCGGGGTCCCCCTGGGGTCTCTTGACGGTGAATCATCTCCTCCTGCAGGGTCCTACTGGTTTGAAGGGTGACAAGGGCCCTCCAGGGCCTGTTGGGGCCAACGTAAGTGCAACTCCATCTGCTGGGTCAGGGGATAGGGTGCGGGGTGGACTCAGGGTGTCTCTGAAGTTTGGCTTTGTCACGATGAAGCCCATCTTGGGAGCCAAACAGGCCTGGGTCACACCCAGCTCTGCCACTTGCTGGCTGGGCAGTTGTATTTCTTGGCAAGCCTCAGTTTCCCTGTCTGTAAAATAGCCATGATGAGAAGCCTCATCTCATACATTATCATAAACCTCAGTGTTGGACGATCCATCCAACAAATACATCTCCGTGTACCAGACACCAGCCTAGAAAAAGCTCTTTTCGGCTAGAGCTTACGTTTTAGGAGAGGAGGCGAAGGAGTTAGTCAGCGATGAATACCACCAACAAGATAGACCAGAGTAGCCATGTGAATGTCTGGGGAAGAGCATTCCAGGCGGAAGAAACAGCATGTGCAAAGGCCCTGAGGCAGGACCGTGCTGACACGATTGAGGAACAGCAGTGATAGCTTTGTGTGGCTGGAGCTGAGGGAGTGAGGCAGAGAGTGGAGGGAGGTGAAGGCAGGGAGGTGACAGGGGCAGCTCGTGCAGGGCATGTGGGCCTCCGGGAATTCTTTGGCTTTTGCTCTGAGGAAGGTGGGAGCCATGGAGGGCCGTGGGTGAAGGAGGGATGTGCCCTGACTCAGGTGCTCTCGGGCGCCCCTCTGGCTGCTACAGGGAAGGGAACAGGTTAGATACCAAGCTGGTAACCACCTAACTCAGTGCCTGGTGGCTTAAAAACCCTCCATCAAGGAGCGCTGCCAATATTGTCACAATTCCTGACCTTTCACCCCTGTTTTCAGGGCTCCCCTGGCGAGCGGGGTCCTGTGGGCCCAGCAGGAGGCATTGGGCTTCCTGGCCAGAGTGGCGGCCAAGGCCCTGTCGGCCCTGCAGGCGAGAAGGGGTCTCCGGTGAGTGCCCTGCCCACCCCATTCCTCGGGTGTCCTTGGGACCTGGCCCTGCCACATCCCAGGACCTGGCGCCCGCGGAGTGTTTCTTCCCTGACATCTCTTGTTCCACTGCCCCATCAGGGAGATCGTGGTTCCCCCGGCCCTACTGGCAAAGATGGGGTCCCAGGGCCCCTGGGTCCTCTGGGACCCTCTGGAGCTGCCGGGCCTTCTGGCGAGGAAGGTGACAAGGTGAGGGGTTCGCAGAGAGGTAGGGTCCAGGGGAGGCTGCGGACAGGGCTGAAGAGAGACGGGGTCCTCCTTCATCCCATTTTCTCTGCAGGGGGAGGTTGGACCCCCCGGTCACAAGGGGAGCAAAGGCGACAAGGGAGATGCGGTGAGTGGGGAGGGGGCCCAGACGGAGGGGTCTTCAGGGGAGGGCAGAGGAGGCCAGGCATGTGGAGAACAGGCGGGCAGGGGGAGGCCACGGGGTTTCCTGCCTTCCCGAGCGCCATCTTGACACCTGCATGCGACAGAAGCTGCTCAAGCTACCTGTGCAAAGGGGCCGCGGGACCCGACTGCAGATGGCGCAGCTGGGGCCCCAAGACAACCATGAGGGGGGCTCCCCTCCCCTCTCCTTTCCTGGGTGTGACCCTGTGGCACTGAGGCTTTCTGTCCCCAGCATCCCCCTAGAAATTCAGCCCCAGTGTCCAGCGTCCGTGAGCCAGCTCCATCCCGGGGTCTCGGTGGGACTCTTAGGGCAAGGTCTCAATAGTCCAGGCAAGGGACAGACGTCTGTCTCTGATCCCATCGGTTGGTGCTGGGAAGACAGGATTTGGCAGAGGAGGGGGGAGGATGGAGCTGTTGCTTTCTGGTTGGGGGAGTTGTTCTAATAAGGGGGTGTAGGCAGGGAGGCGGTGATTGACATCTCTCCTGCCCCCTCTAATCTTGAACCGGACTTTTGATTCTGTCTGTCCTGCAGGGCCCGCCTGGACCGACAGGGATACGGGGTCCTGTGGGACACCCAGGCCCCCCGGTGAGTGCTCTCCCATCTCTCTGACCCTCCTCTGGGTGTCTGATGGGGAGGGACAGTGTCTTCCACTCCAACTCAATCCCAACCTCAGACCCACCTCGATCTGCCCCTCAACACCGACACCCAGTGTGAACTCAACCCCAGAATTCTACTCAATCCCAACCTCATCCCGACCCTGAACCCCATCTGAAACCTGCTCATGACCTGAACCTCAACCCCTAACCTGACTCATCATTTAACGCCCATCTTAAAACTTTCATTCAACCCTTGGCTTAATTCCCGAACTCTGTCCCTTAACTCATACCCCAACTCCAAATTCAAGCCTGACCTTCCCAAAACTTAATCCCCATTCTGACTCCAACCCTTAACCTCAGTCCTGACCCTATCTAACCCTTGACCTTGACCCTAACTGGGCCCCTGCCTCTGTCCTTTTGCCAGGGGGCAGATGGAGCTCAGGGACGCCGGGGACCCCCAGGCCTCTTTGGACAGAAAGGAGATGATGGAGTCAGAGGCTTCGTGGGGGTGATCGGCCCCCCTGGCTTGCAGGTGGGTGTCTGGGTTTGGGGGTGGCACCTCTGGTTCTCCCCACCCTGTGCCCCAATCTTGCTTCTTTGTTCTCCAGGGGCTGCCAGGCCCTCCCGGAGAGAAGGGTGAGGTTGGAGACGTCGGGTCCATGGTATGGACTCCCAGGGAAATGTGGGCGGGGGCGGGAGGTGGGGTTCCGGGGCGGAGTAGTCATTATATTCATTGGGGGAGGGGCACACAGGGCACATTGTCATTTTGAGTATCAAGAGTGGTCACTGCAGCCTTTTCAGGGGGATGGGGTCACCAGATACTGTTCTGGCCTTCCTGCAGGGTCCCCATGGAGCTCCAGGTCCTCGGGGTCCCCATGGCCCCAGTGGATCAGAGGTGAGGACTCTGGGCAGGGGGCAGGATGGCTCAGAGGTGGGGACACCTATTTCCCAAGAAGGGGCTTCTGGGATTCCACAGTCCCCCCTCCCCCTTGCTGTCACCCCAGGGCCCTCCAGGGCTGCCGGGAGGAGTCGGTCAGCCGGGCGCCGTGGGTGAGAAGGTGAGAAAGGGAAGGTGGGGGGTGCACAGGGTGGGGGAGGCGAACCCAGCCCTGCTTGGGCATGGCTGTCCTGGGCTGCCCCTCCATGGATGACCCCTCCCCACTGTCACTTTGCCTCTTGCAGGGTGAACCAGGGGAGCCCGGAGACCCAGGACCTCCAGGAACCCCAGGCATCCTGGTGAGTGTGCAATGTGGCCCCTGCATCCATCTCAGGGAGCCCTTGATCCCTGGGCATCTTGGGCCACCTTGACCTCTGGTCAGTCCTAGGTCATCCACTGGCGCAGGACCTATGGGCATCCCTGGTTACCTCAAGGAAAGAAAGACTCCTGGAAGGTTTCAGAGAGGGCTGCTATATACAGTTGCACAGGTTGCACACTGCACAAGAGTGCAGGGCCTAGGGTGCAGGTTGGGTGCTCAGATCCAAACCATGAGGCCTAATTTGGGGATGCGTTGGGCAGAGGGGGCCCCTTTTCTAGTTCACTCGAGGGCAGATAGACCAACTTTGTACATGTCCAGTGTGCACCTGGACCACACTGACTCCCTCTCTCTTATAAGTCCTAGGTCCTTCTGACCTCTGACCCTTGGGCAACCTAGGCTACTCTGACCCCTGACCCCAGAAAAGTCCCAGACCACCCTGATGCCTAAATCTATGTATGCTACTCCTTGATCTTTGAGGAGTCCAGGCCACTCTGACTTCTGACCTCTGTTTCTGCAAAGGGGCCCAAGGGAGAAGTTGGTGAAAAGGGGGACACAGGCCCATCTGGGGCTGCCGGACCCCCGGGCAAGAAAGGTCCCCCTGGCGAGGATGGCGCCAAAGGGAACATGGTGAGTGCTGGGGGGAGGTGGAGGCAGAGGTGGGAGGGGACTTGGGTGCACTTGAACCTCTCCCAACCTTCCAGCTGGGGGTCGCGTCCTCCAATTTACGGATCTCACGAGTGATCCGGAGCGTGGCTGAATGAATGAATGAATGAATGAATGAATGAATACGGTGGTTCCATGTCACTGCATGGGGTGAAAGTTGATTTCACACCGAATCATTCTGGCACGTTCGAAGGGCTAAGGTTGAAGTTGATGATGAGTCAGAGTTGGGGGTGACGTGGGATTTGGCACGGGGGTGTGGGTGGAGGCCCGTCTGCCATCGTGGGAGGGCTTGGCCGTGGGGTGGAGGACAGGGGTGAGGAGCTCAGCACTGGCGGGACCTCAGCTTGCATCTCGCCACCCCCACTGCTTGCGGCGCCCCCTCTCTGAGCACCAGTTCTCTCCCTGTGCGTCCCCACCTGGGAGGCTGCGGGGAGTGGGATATCACATGCAGCATTCTTAGCTCAGCGTCTGCGCCCAGGAAACCCTCGAATGTTTGGCTCCCCCAGGCCAGGAATTTTGTATGCTGATCCTGAATGTGTCCCCAGCAACCAGAACTGTTCCTGAGCACGGTCGATCTGCTCGATAAATGCGTGACTGACTGTTCAATAATTCAGAGATGTCTAATGAATGGTCACTGGATGACACAATGACTAAACATTATTGATCATTCTGGGTTCCAGGGCCCCACGGGACTCCCCGGAGACCTAGGGCCACCAGGGGACCCTGGAGTTTCGGTGAGTGTGACCTTCCCCCTCCACCCACCGCCAAGCCCCGCATATTTCCTAATTCTGTCCCCATGTCCCCCGACCCCAGACCTGGGCAAGGTCAGTGGAGCCAATAGCCCTCACTTTCCTCCAAGCCCCACCCCAAAACCTCATGTCCCCCCATGACCTCTCCCGACTCTGTCTCCCCTCCCACGCAGGGTATAGATGGCTCCCCTGGGGAGAAAGGAGACCCTGGTGATGTTGGGGCACCGGTGAGTAGGGGGACAGTGTGTTCCTGGGGGAGTTGGGGGGGATGGTGATGGGTAAATTGGGGGGCAGAGGAGTGGGCTAGTGGGGTACCCAGGGTCCCTGCAGATGCTCCTGCTCAGGTCTCTGGAGCCCCCCAGGAATGTGAGGGAGCAGGCGGGAGGTGGCTAGTGCTGGGGTGACGTCTGGGGGAAGGCTGTCGTCTGGTCAAAGGTGTCCTGAGACAGTCACACTCTACCAACCTTAGCTAACGCTGTCCCTGGTGCTCTATCACCCCCATAGGGTCCACCTGGTGCTTCTGGGGAACCCGGCGCCCCTGGGCCCCCTGGCAAGAGGGTGAGTGACAGACAAGCCACCTCCTGGCTGCCCTGGCCTCAACGTTGTCCCACTCAGCCCACAGCCCCTCACTCGCCCCATAGACCCCCCCATACACGCACTGTCTTTCCCTCCTCAGGGTCCTTCCGGCCGCGAGGGCCGGGAAGGCAGAGAAGGGGAGAAAGGTGCCAAGGTGAGTCCGCACCCCGACCCCGGGAGGGTCCCTGCAGTGACCCCTAGGCCAATAGTTAGGCGGGCAGCAGGGCCTGGCCCGCGACCACTGCAGGGGCCTGGATTCTCTCCTCATCCCTGGGTTTTTTTGCGGGAGGGCAGGTCAGGACGAGGGAGCCCTCTGACTCTTGGCGTCCACCCTTGCCCCTGTGCATTTCAGGGGGAGCCAGGTCCTGACGGGCCCCCAGGAAGGACGGGCCCAGTAGGGGCTCGAGGGCCCCCTGGACGTGTGGGGCCTGAGGGTCTTCCGGGGATCCCGGGCCCTGTGGTGAGTGGGGCGGGGCTGGGGCGGGGCCAGGGGTGTGGGTGGGGCAGGGAAGGGGCGGGGCCTGGGTGTGGGTGTGGGTGTGGCCGGGGAGGGGCGGGGCTGGGGCGGATACGGCCCCTCCCTGCATGCTCCCAGCTGGTGATCTCATCACAGTGGGAGGAGCTGCCTCTGGTTGGCGATGGGGGCATCCACACCGGGTTCTGGCAGGTGCAGACGACCCCCATGTTCTGTTTCGTCCTCAGGGTGAACCAGGCCTCCTGGGAGCCCCTGGGCAGATGGGTCCTCCCGGCCCTCTGGTAAGAGACTTCTTTGTCTCTGAAGTCCCAGCTCTGAGGACCACTCTGGGCATCTGGTGGCCATCTAGTGATCACTGGTGCTGATGGTGCAGGCTGGGCCCTCACTGACCATCCATCTCACTGTCCACACGTCCATCCCTACTCACCATCCGCTCTGCCCCCTCATCTTGATAGTCTACACTGACCACACTGGCCTCCATCCTGATGGTCAACACTGACTACGTTGACCTTCCATCCTGATGTTCTACACCCACTCCACTGACCCTCCATCTCGAGGGTCTGCCCTGACCACCCACATCGATGTTGGCCATTGACCATTCTCATTGGCCATCCTCCTACCCACCCCTCCTTACTCTCATAGTCCCTCCTGTGTCCTGGCTGTGTCCACGACTACATCCCTTGTAATTCCCGTTTGAAATTTGGGTCATTTCCCATCTGGTCATTCCCCACGCTCCCACATAGACCTTGAGACTTCACACTTGAGAATCCCTGCCTGACCTTTGCTGTCCCCGCAGGGGCCCTCTGGCCTCCCAGGGCTGAAAGGAGATGCCGGCCTCAAGGGGGAGAAGGTAAGCACACCCCATTTCACTATTCCCCTCCCACCTTCCTCTTCCTGGCCAGAGGGCTGGGAGATCGGGGTGTCCTCGCCCCCAAACTCATCACCCCAAACTCTAGGAGAAAAATCTTCCAGCATCCTCCCACTTCCTTACCTACATGTGCCCTTTTGTCCTCCAGGGCCACATCGGATTAATTGGTCTCATCGGCCCCCCTGGGGAGGCCGGTGAGAAAGGGGATCAGGGTTTGCCTGGCGTTCAGGGCCCCCCTGGCCCCAAGGGAGAACCTGTGAGTGTGTGTCCTGCCCTGAGTCGAAGAATATGTTCAAAGGAGGGGGCAGGTGGGGAGGCAGAGAATGGCGCCCGCTTGGAGAATGTGGGTGTGGGGTCTGGGACACCTGGGTCTGGGATGATGGGGTGTATCTGGGGAAACCGGGGGACTTGCAGGTTGGAGGCTGTGTCTCGGGTTTGGGAGTCTCCCTTCAAGGGAATTGGAGGCTTGTTTAGGGTCTGAGGGGGTTGGGGGCTTGTCTGGGGGATGTGTCAGGGCAACAGGGCTGCACCCCACCAATACTGACCATGATCACCTTTCCCCAGGGTCCCCCTGGTCCCATTGGCTCTCTGGGCCACCCTGGGCCCCCAGGTGTGGCGGTGAGTATGGGAGCAGGTTGTGGGATGGGGTTACTATGGTGGACCAGGCCAGGACCCCAGCTCTCCCTGTCTCTACCCCACAGGGTCCCCTGGGACCGAAAGGCTCAAAGGGCTCTCCGGTGAGTACATCCTGTTCCCTCGAGCTCCCCCGCCCCCTCCACTTCCCCAGAACCCTCCACGCCTCCACGTTCATTCATTTATTTATTCACGCGATCGTACATTCAGCAAATATTTATTCAACACCTACCGTTGTATTTCGTCAAATCTCAAATGCCATCAATTGTAAGATGCACCATTATTTTATAAACTGCTGTGAAAGAAAACAGTTGTGCCAAGTAAATGATGACTTGCCAAAGACATTAAGATGCTGGTTTCACAGACATTAAAATATGAAAAGAAAATAAACGTGTCTTATGCTTAGTGCCGAGCATTGCATATCCCTCCGCCAGGCTGGGTTCCTGTGTGTGTGTGTGTGTGTGTGTGTGTGTGTGTGTGTGTGTGTGTGTGTGTGTGTGTTGGCGGGAAGAGGTCTCCACTGACAGAGTTCACCCCCGAGTGACTTCTCCCTGCAGGGATCCCTTGGTCCCCGTGGAGACACTGGCCCCCCAGGCCCCCCAGGCCCCCCGGTAAGTTCCCCAAGGAGAGGGGGCACCAGGACCTGAGGGGAGGGCAGGGACTATGTCTGCGGTGGCCCCACTGGGTCTGGTGTTCAGGGGATGCGCGTGGGGAGGGCAGGACTAGCAGGGCTAGCAGGGAAGACCTCCATGGGGGGCTCTGACTTGGGTCTTGTCTCCTGTTCTGTCCCCCCGCCCCCACTGCATCTCTTCCTCCCGTCTCTGTCCACGTCTATAATTGTCCCATTATTTCATCTCTGTCTGTTTCTCTTTCCCCTGCCCCTCATCCACTCTCCCCCTTCCTTGTCCAACCCACCCCTCCCCCCGCCCAGGGTCTCCCCGCAGAACCTCACGGGCTGCGCAGGCGCCGACGCTCCATCCCAGTCGTGGAGGGCGGCCTGGAGGAGGTGCTGGCCTCGCTCATGTCGCTGAGCTTGGAGCTGGACCAGACGCGGCGCCCTCCGGGCACAGCCGAGCGCCCCGGCCTGGTGTGCCACGAGTTGCACCGCAACCACCCGCACCTGCCCGATGGTGAGGACCGGCCCCTCCCTGGGGCGGGAAGGGAGCGTCCGGGTCCAGTCCCCGCTCACCTGCCCTGCCTGGCTCTGCGGCAGGGGAATACTGGATTGACCCCAACCAGGGCTGTGCGCGGGATGCGCTCAGGGTTTTCTGCAACTTCACGGCAGGAGGAGAGACCTGCCTCTATCCCGACAAGAAGTTCGAGATCGTGAGTGTCCCAAACCATCTGGTCCCCTCCCCTAGGAAGGGCTGTCCCCTGCTCCCTCCACTCCCTCAGCCCCCCCACTGGCCCTTGTCTGGAACCTTACCCTACCTTCAACCAACATTTATTGAGCACCTACTGTATGCCAAATCCTGACTATCAAAAAGAAAGCAATCTCTTTGCTTTTATGGAGCGCACCTTGTATGGGAGGACAGACTAGAAAAACTCCTGAAACATCGATAACGGTGACAAACCTTTAAATAGTGCTTATGGGTGCCAGGCCTGTTCCAAAGCCTGTGCCACGTTAACTTATGGAGTTCCAACCACCTGCTGATGGCAGTTCTGCCATCATCCCCCCCAGAGGGGGAAACCGAGGCACAGAGTGGCGATTAGATTTTCCAAGGCAGTGTGGCTTCAGAGTCCCAGCCCTTAACCACCCAGCTACACTGCCTGCTGAGCTGCTGTTTTATAGGGTCCCATGGGCTCTCTGTCCTCCAGGCTGTGGGCTGGGAGGTGAGACCCCCCCCCCCGTACCCCGGATATCCCGGGGTTCAACATTAGGGAACTTTGAGCCTAACAGCTTCCCTGCACCAAGTACCAGACTTGGCAGTGCGGGGCGGTGGGCTGGCGGCATGGACCCTGAACCCTGGACCTCCTGGGTTGGAATTCATATCTGGCACCTCAGTTTATTCATCTGTAAAATGAAGCTCCAGAAAGTACCTACCTCATAAGGTGGTTGTGCAACCGAGTTACCGCTGCAGATATCAGGAAGCATTTCCTGAACCCTGCCTACACGTGGTGCTGTGCAAATACCTCCGCCTGCGGGTAACGCACTTAGCAAGCACCGGGCCTGCAGAAGTGTGCAATACTGTTTGTTGCTGTTTTTGACTGGTCAGCCCTCTGGTTTAGTAGCAGCTCAGTCGCTCAGGGGATGGGAATTTAGACAAGCTCAGACTCCCCATTCCTGGGGCGGGAGTGCCAGATTCGATCCATCAACAGTTGCTGACATCCGAGGGCCTCATCCTCGCTCAGCTGCTTACTTTCCACTGGCCTGGGGAGAGGTCGAGGAGGGAGTGAGGTGCTTTCTGGGCTTGGGTTTCCCAAACACAGACCTGAGACAAAGATTTAGGAGGTGATCCCAGGAAGCACCAGGAGGGGAGAGAGGTGATGAGAGAGGACCAGGCAGGTCCCAGGTCCAGGACGTGGCATTAAGATAGTATCATTGGGGATCCAAGGCTCATCCCACTGGTGAACTCTGGGAGATAGTGCAGCATAGACCCCCGAGAGTTGGTGGGGGAGGGAGCTGGGGTATTTATACACCCACTCCCATCAATTGTTGGTTGAGGGCTGCCTCGGGGGTGTGAATCTCCCTGCCCCTCTGTGCACAGGCAGAGCCCACCCCCACGGCCAGAGAACAGCCTGAGATACTCAATCAGCAGCCTGCTTTGTGAGGAGGTGTCTTAGTCCATTTGTGTTGCTATAAAGGAATACCCGTGGCTGGGTCATTTATAAAGAACAGGGGTCTATTTGCTCCTGGTTCTGCAGGCTATGCAAGAGGGATAGTGCCAGCCTCTACTTCTGATGAGGGCCTCAGAAAGCCTCCACTCATGACAGATGGCGAAAGGGGAGCAGGCGTGTCACACGGCGAAAGAGGGAGCACAGAGAGGAGGGGGTGCCCACACTTTTGTGAACAACCAGCTCTCTCGCCTGAGCTAATGGAGTGAGAACTCATGAGTCACCAAGCCATTCATGAGGGATTCGCCCCCAAGACCCAAACACCTCCCACTCGGCCGGCCCCACCTCCAACACTGGAGATCAAGTTGCAACATGAGATTTGGAGGGGAGGAGCATGCAAAGCATATGAGGAAGGAACTGCAGAGAGGGCTTGTAGGTGGCACCCAGAGCGTGTGCTACAGTGATCCACCCCTCCCTCTCCCAGGTGAAACTTGCCTCCTGGTCTAAAGAGAAACCTGGCGGCTGGTATAGCACATTCCGGCGAGGGAAGAAGGTGAGTTGTCAGAAGGTGAGGTGGGGGGTGGTGTGAAAATTGGAGGGAACCAGCAGGAGGAGGTGACGGAGTGGTTCTGAGGTGCGAGATGAACAGGACAGACTCTCCTCTGCCTTCATGGTGGGCGCAGGCTGGAGGTGGGGACGCGGAAGCCTCCGATATGTAATGGGTAGTTAGTTGCCATACGCAATGATGGTGCCAGGGTCGGGGAAGCAGAGGGCATAGCGGACATTCAGAGACAGAGCTGGAAGAAACTGAAAGTTTCCTAGTAGAGGTCACAGTTCAGCTGAAGCCTAAAGAATGCACTGGGCTAGCAAATTAGGGAGGACAAGGACAAGTGTTCTGGGCAGAGGGAACAGTATATGCAAAGGCTCAGAGTCAAGAGAGGGTCTGATGGATTTGACGAAGAAAAGCCATTTTTGCTCTGCTCTAGAGAGTTCGAGAGGGAATATGGTAGGAGTAAGGTTGAGGAGATGAGTGAGGGTAGGACAAGAGTAGGTAGTAGGGAGCCATGGGGTGTATTTAAGTGAGGGAGGAACTCAGATCAAATCTCTGTGTTAGAAAATTGCCTCTGGGGCTGGTGTGGGGTGTGGACAGGAGGCTGGGAGACCCAGAGGAGACTGGTCCAGGATAGTAAGGGGGCATCCAGCCTGGAGCTCTTGCAATAGGGGTGGAAGGGAAAGCATGGCTTAGAACAGTATCTAAGAGTGCAAGTCAACAGGACACGGTAATTGATTAGACAGATGGAAGGAAGGAGGTGGGGATGATGCCCAAGTTCCTGGTTTGAAGGTCTTATATCTGGTGAGAGAGACTCTTCTCTGAGACCCGAAGAGCAGGTTTGAGGGTGGGGGGATATTGAGTTCAGTCCAGAATTTGTCCATGTAACACGTATGTACGTACTGAGCACTAGCAACATAGCAGAAAATAAAACATAGTTCCTGCCTTCATGAAGTGGAGAAGGCAGACAACACGGAAGGAAACAAAGCTATAACATAACCTGAGGGCATATCTCGGTTTGGGCTCCCCCAAAGCAGACCCCAAGACAAGAATTCAATTGCAAGTAATTTATCGGGGAGGTGATTCCAGCAAACATCAGTTGGGCAATATGGAAGTGACATAGGGAAAGAGAATGAAGCCAGAAAAGATGTTACCAAGCCAGTTATCTCACCCCAGTTACATTTTAATAATCTATCTCATTTAACCTAATAGATCAAAAATATTGTCATAGCAAGATAATGAATTATTAAGATATTTTATATTGTTTCCATATTCGGTCTTTAAAATCCAGGCCCATATTTTACATTTATAGCACACCACAATTTGGACGTTCAATTTTACTGAGAATACTCGATCTGTTTTTAGATTTTATAAAATCGCGGAACAACCGTTGAAAAGGTAGATTCAGAGATTCAAGTTGCTCCCAACAGAAGCTTTCTGATAACTGGATGGAGGCTCAGTTATTAGTCATGAATTTTT